AACCCGAAAAACAGAGGGCCGGGGGGTTATTTTTTTTTTTTTCCCCCCCCGCGGGAGGTTTTCCTTGCCCCCCCCCCCCCCCCCCTCCGAACATAAAACAAGCCAACAAGCCAATTCACTTCGTGAACTCGGCAACCAGGTTACCGTCTTTTTTTTTTACCTCTGGTTTTTTTTTGGCGGTAACCATAATGGTGGTCGAGTAGATCATGTTGTGCAGGGTCGAGAAACCTCACTCCACGCAACGGGGGATGATCGCACCACGTTGTGTTAAAATGGTCAAGCTTCCTCGAGGCAGTTACACAGTGCTTACAACTGTCTCTGGAAGTGAAAGCACCAGAAAATAAATTAAGTCATACGTAGCTGTCATCCGTACGCAAGGAAGTAAGCACAAGATGCCGAACACCCTTAGCAGGATGCAGCTCACCCTTCATGCGACTCGCCAAATACCTCACGGCGCTTCGCGCTTGGTGATGTGAGAGCCTGGTCCGGTGAGAACCCGGCGTGCTCCGTCCCGGCTTTGTAGGGATGCGAGGTCAATGGTCAAACGACTACGGCATGCACGACTATGAGTACACCCCCCCCCTCCGAACAGTTCCGAGAGCAAACATTGATACAATGAAGTCGAGCGTCTCCTGGCATCCCTCGGGATACATTTTACCGGCACCCCCCCCCCCCCTATAACGACACGTGCGAGGGTGCATAAAGAAGGGAAAAATATGTTAGCCGAACCTCGAACCCTTAGGTGGTTTCCCTCTGTACTATACCCGCGCCACATGGAGGCTGCAGCACGGCGCGAAGATCATCCGCTGGCAGATCTAGGAGTCTTGATAACTCGACTAAGTTCAAGAAGTACCCCCATGTTGGAGTGGACACCATCGCGTCCATCGTGTCGCTCCGAACCCACGCCACCCTGCGTGAAGCAGAAACAAGAGAAAAAATGACCGCGGCAACATGAGCAACGGAAATACACAGCGTCGCGGCGACGCATGAGGGATATTCAGGTGGCATGAGCCAACACCCTCAGCATAGTGATCGGCAATACAATGGTAGTCGCAAAGGAGTAGTCAACAGCAGAACGTCAAGGCACGTGACGAGTACATGGTAGTGCGAAATTGGCCTACACAGCAGTGCCTTTTAGTCATCAGAGCACGACGACCGCCCACTGGTAACCCCACAGAGGCACCATAATACAAATGAACGTAGAACATACCTCCGTTTCGTTTTCTCCGGAAGCTCTTGTTCCTCTTGTTCGTCTGGCGTTGCTGTACTACTCCCCCCCCCCTCCTGTGCTGTGGTCGCGCCAACGGCCGGGTTGGTATCTCTAGGGGTCCCACGGTGTTCTTCAGCACCGCTCCCAGCCGGCACGCACAAGTTATCTTCTCCTCTGTCCTCAAACCTGGGTCGTGTCGCGTCCTTCCCCCTAAAAGCCAACCACCAAACCCTGTGCGGCTTGGTGTCCCCCTGGCTGCGGAAAACACCGGCCTTCTCCAGTTGGTCTTGTATCCTTATCCCCTTGGTCGCCCCACTACCCCTCCCCCCTAGCCCCTGATAAAAAACGCTAATAGCGTTTTTTTCTAGACCCAGAGCCGTCTCTACTTCTTCCTGATGGCACCAACAGCAATGCGCTGGTTGGGTGCACAACAGGGTCACGATGTCTGGACCAGTGGCGACTGCAGGGAAAGCGGTTGCGTCGCTTCCTGCTGTGCCTGCGCGCCAAGGAAAATGCGGTGTTGGGTCATTTCTAGGTTTACGGTATCAAAACTTAAACGTCTGCGCACCCTACTCGGACGCGATATTAGTACTTCATTTCAAAGCTCTCCACCCCAGCTATCTTTCACTCTCGGGACACTTTTGGCCAGGTTCTGCTCCCATGGAGCCTGCTCTGCCTGAAGGCAGGGTATTTTCAGCGGGGCGGGGGGATAAGGCTGTCTCAAAAACATCCTCAATTTTACCAAAATGTACTGGGCAACTGCTGTTTACAACCAAATTCGCCGCTGCCTTCGGAATTAGTTGGGCATACAACTGCAATACTCTGTGACAAAAACCCGCATTGATCGGCAGCCTGCAATCGCCGTTCGAAGGAGTTGATGCGTACCTGGCCCTTGTCATGCCGCGGGCCGGTTTTTAGACCAAAAATCGACATTTTGGTCTCAACTCGAGGTTATACGTGATTGCCAGCAATCGCGCAGACGATTCCTCGCTCCAGCATGGGACAGTGGTTGGCATCAAACACTATTATGGTGTCGGTGCTGTCTGCTAAGTGGCAAGCCCGAAATGTGGGCCTCTATATGGTAAGCCCTAAAACGGGTGCAGCCAGCGTGGTCGGCATGAAAAAATCGTGTGGTGCTAACTCTACTCACAGCCACCCACATGGCACCAAAACTTCAGGAAGGGTCTATCTGGGTACCATGGTCGACTCCTTACCTTGTGGGTCCGCCATGATGACGCTGGAGCAGACGGCGCCACGGGCCCTCAGCAGCCCAGCTGTGATCACGCTCTAATTATGTGCGATTCGGCCTGTTTCCGCCACTCTCGTTGGACCACGTTTCACAGTCCCGTTAGTTCTATTTTTGAAACCGTCTGAATTTTTTTCGTCGAAATTAGCTGTATTTGTCAGAGGAAACCTGCCACCTCCCGTGCGGCCTTAACAATAACCCATATATAACGACCGACGAATTAGTACAAAAGAACACAAACCTGGTACTTGTTATCCGGCTGCGAACGTTTGTCCCGAGGGGCAGAACAACGTTGCATGATGAGAGGGCACAATCTGGCGACGTTGTGAGCAAAGACTTTCTCTAACCCACGAGGTTATGCTGTGTGTGCTTACCTGACCCGGCCAGGTTATGCCACCGGGGTAAGCAACCTGACGAGGTTATGCCACCGGGGTCAGCAAACCTGGGACGTTGTATTAACTGAAAATATAGTGCTTTTTTTTCGGCATTGTACAATGGTGCATATAATGTGCACCTGGGCCACCTGTGGAGTGCTAACAACTCTAGCAGCAGGACTGTGTCGTCCAACTCAATCACCTTTCCTGTGCTCGCGGTGTATTTCATCGGCTCATCATCATCCCGCTGAAGCCTGACGTCTTCTTACTACATACATTGATTGGTTGGTCGGCTTGGTAGGCTGGTAAGCGCGACCGCTGCTGTTACAGCAGTAGTAGTTTAAGCAAGAAACACATCGCAATTGAGACACAACAGACAACACACCCACGCACACACGGCACAGGCAGGAGGGAGTGGCGGCGCCCAACGTTACCCGAGTAGTGCTGTGTCCATACATGCATATATATTTATGCATGTCAACCATGCTGGATCGGTCTCGCTTTCGTAGCGTGACCCGTCCGTGCATGTCGCATATAGACTGCAGCAAGAAGTGGTGCCAGGGGTATTGTACGTGTGTGCATGTTTCCAAACGGAACAACTGCTGTGCTGGGGTAGTGCCCGGCCATTGTTGATTTAGAGCGGAAGAGTTAATGGTTGGTGTTGTTTGGCAGGGGCGGAAACTGATTCCTGCCGCGTTGCCATGGTTGTTATTGGGTGGGAAGATTCGCCGTTTGGTACCCCATGGTTGGAGAGGAAAAGGAGTTGGGAAGATTCCTGCGGGGAAAATGATCGATGAATGGGTCTTATTTCCCGTCAGGTCAGGGTACACTTCCGAAAACAGGGTACAGTTGGTGAGAAAAGAAGACACAGCAGGGTATATATACCCTGCGCCGCTTCGGACGTATCGGGGTGAAATTGGGCGCTGACCAATCATATGAATGAATTTACTGCTGTTAATGACTGTGTACCCAGGTGTGTCGCTTTTCGACCAGGGTATACCCTGTTGTGTCGTTTTCCCAAAGAAGTTCATCCTCCATCAAGATCTTATTTTTTGATGAATAGATAAACTTGCCAGAGGGTCACCTCATTACAAGTTCATCCCATCAAAGGATCTTATTTTTCGATGATGAATAGAGAAAACTTGCTAGATAGAGGGTCACCTCATTACAAGTTTATTCCTCATCACGATGATATTATTATTAAATGATGAAAAGACAGACTCGCCGGAGGGTCACCTCATTACGAGTCTATCTCTCGTAAAGATTTTAATTATTATGATGAATAGACAAACTTGCCAGAGGGTCACCTCATTACAACTTTATCCCTCATCAACCCCACAGCATTATCATGCGAAATATTAATATTTTAGTACACTACTAGCTGTCATCATGATAGCCCAGTACCCACAATTGTTTTCTAGACCATACTAGTATGGACCACATCTATCACTACTCCGTCTGAAGACTCCGTGTTTTTTAACACGCGTTGTATGATAATCAGGCCGAGTTGATGATGTTGTACCAGGTAGGTTAACTCCAATACATGTGTCTCCATGAGCCACTCATCATGGCTACGGCCGCCAAAAGCACATCTTTAGCACAGATGGACTTGTGGCGCAAAGAGGGGGGGGGTGATGTGGAGGACACCTGTCAGGAGTATAACCAACCATGTGTGCACATACAAAGTGTAGGAAGATATGGCTCCCTCGGGGTATCTTGTCACAAGGAGAGTGACAGGAAATGCACCGTCGGAGATGGATATCTTCCGAAGTCCCTGGCCACTTGCCGGAAGTGGAAGCGGAGAGTCTCCGACTCTCCTCTCCCT